ACCCCAAGTCCCTTTCTCCACTACAAAAACTCGATCCTTAACCACACAACGACCCAAAATCCTTAAACATTGCACTTAAATTAGTGAACCCACTGGAATCATTGTTGAGAGTCTCCACACTGACATGAACACTCTCTCAAAGATGCAACTGGATGAATTCCTTTTCGAGTACATCACATCCATAAGAATCGTAAACTCTGAGTCTTCCCAAAAGCTGCACATGAATCGGTAAGGCGTAATATCACATGCATTCCTCAAGTTCTTTACCCGAATTAACCTTGATGTTTTTCTTTTCTTAGTCATAAATAATCCACCAATACACTAATAACCAGAAACCGCACAAGCAAACAACCACGCGATCCAATCATAGATGGTGGGCTCCCTACTTAGCTTTAAGCTACTATTAGGTAAATGTAGAACCCACAATGATTCCTCCTTCTCAATTTCCGTGATCTCGCACCGTTAACTCGCCAAATTTCTTGTAGTAACTTATTAAACTTTTCATGAATATTTCGAATTGTCACCATCAATCGCACATCCGACCTCCTACTGGGTAGTAAGTAGAACTCTTCATAGAAACTTAATCAAAATTGAGAAACCGCTAACCTGCTCATAGGAGGTAGCCCACCGGTGGAAATTCCATACCAACATCTTCCAACGACATTGCCCTGGTACAACTACCACAAAATCAGAAAACCCTCCTAAGCCCATGCTCACCTGCCAGCTGTAAGAGTCTGTTAAACCCCTATTAGCATCAACTAAAAGTCCAACCATACGTTCCAAACTCGAAGTCATGTTGCATCAAAAAATGATAATCAAGCTTTCACACCCCTCTTCATTTCAAGCAACTCCTCTCTGCCATATTCAATCTTCCTCAATATAGTAGCCACCATCCCAAATGAAATTTATAGACCTAGTCACTATCTATCATGATCCCTAAATTGCTCTAAACTTCCCCACGGCATGTGGCTAACTTACCATAGAATCCATACACTACTTCTCCACTCTCACTTCGGTTAAACCATCTCCTTAAGCAACTTCTCAACCTCTGTTGTTCATACTTGACCTGCTAGCAATTCAATCACTACGAGAATCCTCCCACCATGTCCTTCCCCCTCCTTTGCTTCCAAAATACTACCTCAAATCATAATCCCTCTTTGCAGCACCCGAATAGATAAATTTTCACCAACTCTAAGCCTTCATAAAGATCAACTCCCCCGAACCATCAACATTAGAAGCACCAATTCGACACCCATATGCCTTCATACATCGTAGCAAGACAACGCCATTACACCATAATTGAAAATTCCACCAAGATTGAAAGTATCAAGTTTTAGTACTCCGTCAGCCAAAGCCGGAACACCCATAGTCCAATTGCATTTCCTCCGCTGGAACAAAATGCTGAATCTCTACACTATGACCGATTAATCCTCCCTTCGAGTCGTTTATTTCTGTGAAACATAAATAAGCACACTACCATTTATACCAAAACTACGCGATAACCCCCCATGAACATCATGCATCACATTTGCGATGACTATAGCCCAACTGAATATGTAGGGAGAAACATCCTGCACCATATCTGCAGTGCCATTACAACTCCTTAATGCCCAATTGATAGAAAGCGCACCACGCTCATAAGATTGAGTAGGAAGGAAATGAAGGCATAAGCTTTAATGGAATCAAATCGCACGATGAAGAATCAAGAAAGGAAGTGCTCCTGACAGCCATGTAACATCTCAAAGATAAGTACATATGTCAGTGTACCAATCCACAAGACTCTACTAACGTTTTCTTGACATATGAGACCAAAGTGAACCTAGAGCTCTGATACCAAGCTGTCATGACCCCAAACACATTATAGGCCATGATGGTGCCCAACGTCACCGTTAGGAAAGCCAACGGTGAACTACCAACTTGATTATTCATTTTATTATTTTTGAAATCATGAATCTTGTTAGGTGGAGACAAATTGCATTAAAGTCATTGATAAATACAATTTAAATATTATACAAGTAAAAGTGTATCGAGGTTAAGCAATCCCAAAATCCAATGTCACAAGTGCATGAGTATTTAATAAGGAGTAATAATAATACAACATCTGTCTGGAATATAAATAAGACATGATAAAGTAAATAGTACGATGAAGAATCTGTGGGCTGCGATACATAGCATGGAATGCGGCTCACCATAAAGTCTCCTCAGCAGCTGGGCCTACACGCAAAGATGACCACCAATTAAACCTGTCAGATCCTGCACATTTAGTGTAGAAGTGCAGCCTGAGTACGTAAATCAACGCGTACCCAGTAAGTATCTAGCCTAACCCCGGAGAAGTAGTGACGAGAGGTCGACATCGACACTTACTAGAGGTCCAATAAAGCAATATGATAAATCATTAGCAGATATAAAGCACAACAACAATAATGGGGTAAAATTGTAAGTTACATAATCATCAAAAAAATTCTTCTAAAGATATAAATTTCACAATCTCGTATTCTATCTCAATAGAAAAGATGTATCAAGTGCCAGTATCAAACAGATAAGGAGTACCATATAAGATGCTAGGCATCAGTGGAAGGATAATCTCATGAATATTCGGTGTGCTAGCAGTATAACACACGATTATGCCGAGGTCGTACGACTCAATCCAGAAAATATGTACACTGCCGAGGGTCAACCGGCACGAACCATAGATGAATATATTATACTATCGAGGCATTCGGTCCACTCGACAAGAAAGGAAGGAACTTATCGAATTATAAGACACGTGCTTACAATACAGTACATGAGCATAAAGTGAATATAATCTTTACCGTTTCTCAAATNAATAATTTAAATATTACATGATAAAGTCCTAAATCTACCCGGACATAAACATGCTTTAGCTATGTATGGACTCTCGTCACCTCATGCATATGTAGCACCCACAACTAGTAGCACATAACAATTACAACACCTAGGGGTAGTTTTCCCTCACAAGGTTAGACGGGAGACTTACTTCGTTTTGAAGTTCCATAGCCGACTCCAATACCTCTCAAACTCTTCAATTCAAAGCCATGCGATCCGAAACTAGTCAAACAACATGCATCTAATCAAAATATACTTCAATGCGTATAATTTAACAATTTATAACAACCCTCAACTCTACTAAAAAAGTCAACAAAGTCAACCATCGGGTCCACGTGCCCGGATTCTGAAAATTCTTGAAGGTAAACTTTACCCATAACGCAACGAACTTAAATATATAATTTATTCCTAGTTCCATTTCCAATTACGCGGTCAAAATCCAAAAATACCAAATTCTAGGTTTTCTACCAAAAAATCCCACAATTTCTACCCAAGTCCATGTTTAAATCCATATATAACTCATGTACTTAGCTCACAATGAGTAGAAGTTCCTTACCTCGAGGTAGATGATGAAGTTGTCTGCTCTAAATCGCCCCAAAATCGCGCAAGCAAGAGAGGAATGAGTGAAAATGAGCAAAAATCCCGATTGAGTAACATATATTCTGCCCAGGCGTTTTCGCACTTGCGGACACCCCACTGCACCTGCAAAAAAATGTCTGCTATTGCAGAAGTCACTTAGGCTGCCGGTCAGTCGCACCTGCGGCCCAAAGTTCGCACCTGCGAGGCTGCTTTTGTGGATCTCTTTTAGCTTCTGCATTTTGGCACCTGCATGATCCCATCCGCTTCTACGAGGCCACCCATGCCTCTCTGACTCTGTATCTATGGAGCCTCATCGTATCTGCGGGCTCGCAGATGTAGAAATCCTCCTTGCACCTGCAACCACTGTCCAGCTCACCCAGAACTGCTTCTGCAACCCCTTGGCCACTTCTGCTGTCTCTCACCTACGGCTAAAAAACCTCACAAATGCGATCACACTAGAAGCCTTATGCTTGAGCAATTCCTTCTTGTCCAAAACTCGACCCGATTCCAATCCGATTCGCACCGGAGGCCCCCGGGACCTGATAAACGGCCAAAAATGCATATTTTTCAGTGCACTTTCATCTCATAACTTGTGTGGTTATGGTAGGTTATATCAGTTTTTGTAGTGAATTATGCTCATTGCGTGCATTCTTGTGTGCAGGAGCAAGTTGGACGAAATGTGAGCAAATAGAAGTTGATTCGTGACCAAAAGACAAAAGAAGAACTTTACTCGTTCATTCTCGTGTGCACATGAGAGAGTGAACAGTTATTGAGGAAAAGCTTGAATAAAACAGCGAAGCATAGTAAAAAGGCATGAAAGTGCATGAGAGACCTAAAATGGTTGCAAAAGGAGCCCGCAAACTCAATCAACACTTGGGATGATCTAGTTAGGAAATTCTTAATCAAGTTTTTTCACACTAAGAAGACAAAGTCGCTGAGGAGCCAGCTTCTTATGTTTCAAAAATGAGATGGCGAGACTCTTCGTCAAGCATGGGAAAGATACAAGAAGATACTCAAAGACCGCCCACATCATTGTCAGACTGATGAGGTTTTGGGTCACATTTTTGTTGATGGGTTGGATGTGTCATCAAAGATGAATCTTAACTCAGAATGTGAGATCCAGATCTTGCTAAATAATTTCACTGTTAATGATAATAATTGGCAAGGATATGGGAACCACGAAGAACACTTAAACAAAAGGCAGCATGTGTGATTGAGCTGATGATTTTTCATCCACGAGGGAAGATATAGCAAGATTAGCGAACCAGATGAACAAAATGACAATGCACCAAGCACAACGGATGCAACATGTGCAACAAATGTCTACTTGATATGAATTATGTGGTGAAGTTCACACAAGTGACATATGCCTCGTGAATCTTAAATCCATCTACTATGTTGGGCAATAAGCTAGAGGGCCGATGAATCAAAATGCTTAATATGGTAACAAATACAATCCGAACCGGAGGAATCATCCTAACTTCTCTTGGGGTGGAAATCAGAATAACTGGCCTCAAGCTAACTAAAATCAGCCACCTAAACCCCCATAACAAGCAGAAGAGAGTTTGACTGCCATGATGAAAAAGCTCTTGATAGACAATCAGAAAGTTATGGATGAGAATTTACAAGTTAGGGCTGAGAATAAACAAGTTAGGGCTGAGAATCAACAATTGCGCACAGAGTTCAGAAATTTAGAGAGGCAGTTTGGCCAAATTGCTAATACTCAGAATCCTAGACCTGTTGGAGCTCTCCCTAGTGATACTGAGCCTAATCCTAAGGCTCAAGTCAATGCAGTTACCTTGAGAAATAGAAGACTATTAGAAGAAGTTCCAAAGAAAAAGAAGTATACACCTAGTTCTAAAGGAGAATTAGTTCCTAATCCAGTTGAGGGGAATGAGAAAGAGAACAAAGGATCAGAGCCAGTAATTGTGACAAGGCCACTACCTTCGTTTCCACAAAGACTGCAAAAGCAAAAAGATAACGCTAAGTATAAGATATTCTTAGATATTTTGAGCCAATTGCGTGTGAATTTGCCTTTGGTGGAAATTTTGCAGGAAGTGCCTAAGTATGCAAGGTATCTTAGAGATATTGTGGCAAACAGGCAAAGACCTACAGAGTTTGAAACAGTTGCACTTACTGAAGAGTGCAGTGCTAGTGTTCAGAGTAAACTTCCTCCTAAGTTAAAGGATCCTAGGTGTTTCACAATTCCTCCGTCTCTTGGAAAATAAGAAGTTGGTAGAGCCCTGTGTGATTTAGGGGCTAGTATAAATTTGATGCCATTCTCTTTGTTCAAGCAACTCGGATTGGGGGTGCTTAGACCTACTACAATCACTTTTACAGTTGGCAGATAGGTCACTAGTTATGCCATAAGGAATTATTGATGATGTGTTAGTTTAAATGGAAAAGTTTATTCTTCCTGCTGATTTTATTGTTCTTGATTATGAGGCAGATGAGGAAGTGACCATTATTTTGGGGCGATCATTCTTAGCTACTGGTGGAGCGATTATTGATGTTAGGGAAGGGAAGTTGAAGATGAGAGTTGGCGATGAGGAAATCACTTTTAATGTATACAAGGCACTTAAGCTCCCTAAGCATTATAATGACTTGTGCATGATTACTGTGGTAGAAATGAATGGGATGGAGTAGAGTCCTTATGTGAATTGTAGTGATTCGATGGGATAACTAAGTTAGAGGAGGTGGTGTTGCAAGCTGAGTGTGTAATAATTATTGAGAAAAGAGCCAGGGATGAAAGAGGAGACCTTCTAAGAATGGGTAAAAAGGCTAGACTTCATGGGAGAAAGAAGAAGAGAAAGATTTAAGTAGAAAAATTGGACTTCTCCCGATGATGGATCTCATTCGATAGGTTTCTTGAAATATTTAAGTCGAAAGAAAAAAGACAAAAATATTTTCTTTTGTTAGGTAGTGTCATAATTTCCCCTTGGTTTATCTTTGTGCCGCAGTTCTTTTTCAAGGGTTTTGTTTGAGCCAAGTGTAGTTAGTTTTTTTTAGGAGTAGGAGCCATTTTGTTGTGATTGGAATTGAGGCAATATCTCTTGAATTTGTTATGCCTTGAGAATAGTGAGTAATTTGGTTGTGACGCTTAGGCTCAGTTTTTGACTCTTGCATAAGAACTTTAAATTGTATGATCTTAACTTTGCTTAACTGCTTTGACTAAAGTGTCTTGATGAGTCCAATCTTGAGTGAGTTATGTGCCATGTGTGTGTCATTCTGTGCATTGAATTTGATGTCTAGATCTTGCCCCGTGTGTTTGAAAAGCAAAATAGTAGTTTTGTTCAGTCTTGGAAGTGATATAGGCATTTTTTTGTTGATCCAGATAGATTTATATTTTACCCGCCTAATTGTTATGTATCGTAGTTAACCCTTTGAGCCTGTAATCCTGTTTTTTGGCAACTACATTATAAGCCTTACCCCTTTGTTTGAATTAACAATCTACTTGAATCTTTTCACCTCTCATCAGCACTTGAATTGTAATGAACTTTGTAAAAGTTAAAATGTGGGGTGCTGGTTTGGCTTTTGAGTAGAACTAATGAAATAAGGAGAAAGGTGCACTGTTTTGGAAAAGTAAGAGCCACTTGAATTGAAAAAAAAGAAAAGAAAAAAAGTAGTTGTATTGTGTGAAAAATATTCGTTGATAGTGTTGAATCTTGATGTAACTATGCTTAAAGAATTATGGAGTTAATATACATTGATGTTAAGGTGGAGCTATGGTTTGACATAAGTGTAGGGTTTTAAATGTTAAAGTGTATGTATTAAAGTGCTTAGGGAGGTGTAGTCACTCGTATATCTATATGTATCCTACTTGTCCCACAACCTACAATACAACCAAATAAAGTCATAATCGATCTTTGACTGGATGAGCTCGATTAGTAGAGTAGTACACTACAGGCAAGCCTATGGTTCATCTTTTGTGGAATATGAATGTTGTTTCTAAGAGTGAGTGAGTTCTTTCTATATTGAGTTCCTAATTGTTCTTGAATTTTATGTGTGTGGAACTACTCTCTTTTGTTGTGTGAGGGCACTTGATTCATGAAGGAAAGGTAATGTCATTGACCTCTATGTTACAGTAAGTGTGCGGGTTGTCAAAAATGCATGGTACTTGTGAGTCAAATTTTAAGGTGAGGATGTTACACTATTATTTTTAGTCTATTTTGAATATTCTTGGTATGATGAGTTATGAGAGCTGTTTAAAAAGGTTGTGTTGTTGTAAAGTATAGAAAGTTGCTCGAGGACGAGTAAGAGTTTAAGTGTGTGTCACGACCCAAAAACTAACATTGTCGAGATGGGGCCTATCGTGGTACTAGGAAAGTTGACACATAATCAAAACAAATCGATATTTTCATTTCAAAGATAATTCCAAAGCTATTCAATATAAAACCTTCATAAAGGAGTTCAAATCAAAACAAAAGTGCGGAAAAGAAAGCTCGACATTGGGGTGTCACTAGTCATGAGCATCTACTACAATTTGTTTGACAATATCGAGACTAACATAGTCTGGAAAATAACTAAATACAACTAAAGGAAGATAAGAGGGAGAAGAGCAGGGCTGCGATCGCCAGGTAACTACCTTTCTATCTCCGAGAAAATCTGCAACTGAAATAGTCAACATCCGCTACCGTGTCCAGATACGCTTGGATCTGCACATAAGGTGCAGGGAGTAACGTGAATATGACAACTCAGTAAGTAACAATAGTAAATAAATACTGAGAAGTAATGATGAGTAATACTGCAAGTAAAGTTCATATCAGAAAAATTCAGTAAAATACGACATGCTTTTAAAACCAGAGTTTGAAACAAATCAGCTTCTTTAAATCCAGTTCCAATAAAATCATTTAAAAACATCTTCCAACAATTTTTGAACAAAGGTTCAATGAAAAAGTGAGCAAAATGATGAAATCATAAACAACCCCTCGGGCAAACATCACTCATATACAGCCCCTGAGGCAAACCTCACCATCACTCATATACAGCCCCTCGGGCAAACATCACTTATATACATCCCCTCGGGCAAACCTCACCATCACTCATATACATCCCCTCAGGAAAACCTCACCATCACTCATGCCTCCTATTCACTCAACACTTGGCACTCGACACTCATACTCAGTAGGTACCTGCGCTCACTGGGGGTGTATACAGACTCTGGAGGGGCTCCTTCAGTCCAAGCACTATATCAAGTTAATCATGGCATAAATCAATGAGTCTCTCGCCCTATATCAAACATACTGCAGCGTGCCGCCCAATCGCATAAATATCTTCACAAATCAAGCCCTCGGCCTCACTCAGTCATAAACCTCTCTAGCCTCTCGGGCTCTCAAAAAAACAAAGTTTTCAGCCCAAACAACATTTATATGATGCATCAAAAATAGAGTAAATAAGTATAAAGATGACAGAGTAAAGATTTCTTAAATGAGAGGATAGCAAGAAAAGACCTCTAAGGGTCCAAACAACACTGGCGTAAGGCCTAAACATGGCATCTAGCCTGATTTACAGAAATTCTTTCTAAACACATGAGAGCCATATAGTTTCAGCAAAATATTCAACTTTACATTTGATACGGGACGGACAAAGTCACAATCCCCAATAGTGCACGCCCCCGTCACCTAGCATGTGCGTCACCTCAAAATAGTCACACGACATAAAATACGGGGTTTCATACCCTCAGGACTAGATTTGCAATCATTACTTACTTAAAACTGATCAAATCTCTACTCTACGATGCTCTTGCCCCTCGACTCGGCCTCCAAATACTCTGAATCTATTAACAATTACTACAATACCATCAATATGTGCTAAAGAAATGAATTCCAGAAGAAAAACTATCAAATTAGACCAAGAACCCTAAATCGGCCCAAACCCGCCCCCCAGTCCCACGTCTCGAAACCTGACAAAAATTACAAAACTTGAAAGCCCATTCACTCATGAGTCCGTACATATGAAATTTACCAAAATTCGACTCCATTTGGTCCCTCAAATCCTCAAATCAAACTCTCCAAAATCCCAAGCCCTAACCCCTCATTTTAACCCCTAATTTCCAATAACTAATTTCTAAAACAATGGGAAAACACCATAGATAGGAGTATTAAAACTCAAGCAACTTACCTCACTGAAGACCCTTTGAATCTCCCTTCAAAATCACTCCAAAAGCTCCAAAAGCTGACTTGAAAATAGTGGAAATGAACCAAAATTAGAGAATTGTGCTATTTATACTTTCTGCCCTGGTCTTCCGCACCAACTGCCATATATCTGCTCCTACAGAACTGCACCTGCGGTCATCTCCTCGCACCTGCGGAAACCACTTAAATCCTCAAAGCCGCATCTGCGCCCCAGGTCTCACACTTGCGAGCTCGCAGATGCGACCAATCATACGCTTTTGTGAACCCAGCCCTGGCCTTCCATTTCCACATCTGCAGCTAACTAAACACACTTGCGACCTCGTACCTACGGTTCCCACTCCACAGGTGCGGAAACAACAGTGACATCAGCTTCAGCTACATTTTCCAAATTCCAAACTCTCCGTTAGCCATCCAAAATCATCTCGAGCCCCTCAGAACCTTAACCAAACATACAAACAAGTCATATATCAACATATGAACTTAATCAAACCCTCGGAACAGTCAAAACAACATCAAAGCACTGAATTACCCTCAGATTCAAGCTTAAGAACTTCTAAACTTCCAAATTCCACAAACGATGCCGAAACCTACCAAACCATGTCCGAATGACCTCAAATTTTGCACACGCGTCAAAAATGACACCATGAACCTACCCCAACTTTCGAAATTCCATTCCAACCCCGATATTAAATTTTCCACTGCTGACCAAAATCGCCAAATTTCCAACTTTCGCCAATTCAAATATAATTCTACCACGGACCTCCAAATCACACTCCGAACACGCTCCTAAGTCCAAAATCACCTAACGGAGCTAACCGAAGCATAAAAATCCAAATCCAAGATCGTTTACTCATAAGTCAACATCTGGTTGACTTTTTCAACTTAAGCTTCAAAATAGGAGACTGTCTCATTCCACTCCAAAATCACTCTGGACCCGAACCAACCAATGCGATATGATACAATACAGCTGAAGAACAAAAAAGGAAGTAGAAATGGGGGAAACAGGGCTATAACTCACAAAACGACTGGCCGGGTCATTACAGTTGATAAATGACCAAAATTTGGTGCACTTTCATCTCATAACTTGCGTGGAT